CGTTGGCGTGGTGTTGCACTTGGCGCGAGCTGGACGCCGACTCCGCTACCGCTCGGCGAGAGCAGGCGCGCGAGCTGACGACGCTCCATCCGCGCGAGGTGGAGGGAAGCTGTCGGAACACGTGGAACGCGCTCCATCGACCGCTCCGACGCCTGCCGGCCGCCTCGACGACAGCCTCGCCCGTGGTACCACAGTGCGTTTCCCCCTACGCAGGTGCTGGCCGAAATGTATTCCTACGGTCACTCCCTTGCCGTTGTCAGTTCTGTACGAAGAATTGGCCGTTTCTCGGCTTTAATGACAGATGCCATTTACCCGGAAGCTGTTGATCCTGTCTGGAACCAAACGCACTGAATATGAATCCTCTTCCAAAAAAATTATTACTTCGAGATGCACGTCGTTGAGTTAGAAAGTAAACCCTTCAATTTCTCAAGCCTGTAGAACCCCCTAAATGCTCCTGCTCGCGAACAACTATAAGCTTAAAAACGTTTTCTTTTTCGCTGTTCAGTTCATAGTTTGTTTTTTTTTTTTTAATGTACCTGAACGAAACATGTGTAGTATACTCCTTAGCCTTGCGTCTTTTTCGATTGCAACTTTAAATATTTGTCGCCCTACTAAAGCAAGAATTGGACCATACATTTTTTTATGAATTCGACTCATTGAAAATTTAACAGGAAAATCATAAATAAATTGAATAGTGCTTAAATAAGAATAATAAACTCGATTAAAACCTCTATTTGTTGAATAATTATTAAAATTGCAATTTGCAATTGATCCCGAAAATTTAATGTTATCATTAGTCATGCCCTCCGGGTTCATTTGGTCCAGAATTGATAGAAAATAATTTCTTCCATTAACATGAAAAGTAATTTTCAAAGGCAAATAACCTCAAAAATATTAGGCTATTTATCCCACATCGTGCTTTTCTTGAAAGCATTGACTTACCGGTCACGAGAAACATAGAGAACCATAATTGGATAACCATGTCCCGCACTGAGCTCCAAGAAAAACTTGCCCAGTTAGCTGAAGTCCTCTAACAGCAATACCACTTATCCAGAAGCAAAACGGACGGTCCAAAGGATCAGCGGGCACTACAATCCGTTAATATTTTGCCTACGCGAGGATGCCTCATATCCGGAGTCTGAGGTGCCCCCTGTTTCGGAGGAACCCCGGGATAGATGCCGCCGGGCGGCATCCATAAGCGCGCGCGTTTCCGACGCGCCTTAGGAACCGAAGTGGGCGTGACACATCTGGGGGGCGGCGAAGGGAAGTGGCCCGGGAAGTACGCTCCCCGTTGAACCCCCCTCGCTGCGCCCCCTCCCACCGCCTTTTCGCCCCCTCCTCATCCTTTTCCTCTTTCTTCCAGGCTCGCTTGATCCTCGCCGCGCATTCACATACTTGTGTGCGGCGCCGGTTGCCGCCCTCCCGATCCGCAGACCGAGGGAACTTTAGCGGGCGCACGGCCCGCGTAAAGAATAAAGCGCCTATAGACAGAGGCTTTACCGCGGGATTTGCCTTCCGCCCCTCGCGCACCCCCCGCCCCCTTTCGCTCCTCGCCCTCGCACTTCCCGGGAGCGAGCGCGATCCACCAACGAGGCGCCGTTGCTGTCGCCAATCTGCCCCAGCGAAGACACATCACTATTATCCCTCCACCCGGAAACAAGAGGGAAAGGCACTTATGATGTTGGATTGATGATAGATCTGTGCAATTAAAGGAATTAAGTTAAGAAGAAGAAGAGAGTCAAGTCAGTGCGCGTATACCTAGATAAGCTGGAATAACCCAGGAGTGATAAGTGAGCGCAGTGTCAGGCAAGGGGAAGAAGATCCCGGCGATAAGCCGGCGGCGGCCGAAGAGGTCACCGGCGCAAAGAAAGACGAAAACCGTATTGACATGCGTGCTCCGAGTGGAACGTATTCTGAGCCAAGCCCGTAAATGTGGCCGCACAGTGATTGAACAAGTACGAAGCCGGGGAAAACGCTGGCAGGTGCGGCCCGGGCGCGCCGCGCGCGGCGAATAAGAAGAGCAATAGAGGTTACCCGCCAGAAGTAAGAAACTTGGTGGCAGCGTGGTCGCCGCGGTGGATAAGCCGAATAAAGAGCGGCCGCCCGGAGCACGCGCGCGCGGG